AACCAGGAGAACGGGAAGTATGATCGACAGACAAGAAGAAGAAAATTAGAAGTGAGGTCCGAACAAGCGAGACTGGAGGTGGTTGTGGGAGGAAATCGAAGAACCGGAAACCGGCGAGTTATCGCTGCAGTGACGCTAGTGTATGTACGTATCGGTCCCCCATGACGAACCAAACTGAAAGGAGCCAAAAGGATGGACGGTCTCCGGGAGCACTTGCTTAGGTCGCTGGAGCACGGGCGTGATGGCCTTTGAAACTTGTTCGTTTTGTTGGCTGAGTTCATCTCATCTGAAAGACGGCAGTACAAGATCGGGGCCGCCATGGAGCCAAGCGGGACGGGTTCCAGTTAGGTAGTTCCAGTGGGCCAAAATGTCTTGCTTCTCCCTTGTGATCTGATTGGGCCCGACACCAAAGTACCCTGGTGACGTCTGCGGCTCCTCTGTTGCTACCGTCATGGCCAATCATGCTGCAGTATCGGTGCCACCCCATGCCGGGCGTTACTTTGCAGCATGCCCCTGAATCCAGTTGATCATTGCGCGCCTATGAATTCTGCCCGACTCCCTTTCCCTCCATGTCATTCAGTGGCCGTTAGTTGACATGGTTGGTTGGATGACATTGTCCATTGCACCGAGGACAACAAAGCCGCAGACGCGCGCTTGACTTGGTCTTCACGCAGACTTCTTGATGAAAACCACAACGGCTACACCTGATGAAACATCCTTGCGCGACTGAACCCCCACTAACGGACGAGCCCGTTGTGGCTCTTCACCACGAACTGGTCTTGGTGTCCCTGAACGACCCGGTGTGCATGGCTGCAGTGTACAACCGCAACCGAGCTCAGAAAACGACTCAGCGGAGATTTGTGCGTCCTCTAGTGTGGACTTTGACAGCTTTCGATTAATTTCCGCTGGAACTTGGCACGCAGACCTCCTCTAGTCGGCACTCCTTTCTACCTTACTACAGTATGTACACGAGAACATCAAACGGGAGGATACTAGTCGAATATGCGGCGATTGATCGATACACGGGCAAAAAAAAGTTGTGCCCTCCCATTCCTGAGGTTGTTCACGGAGGGTATGACGCCACAATGGGAAACAACTTATTGAAGAGTTGGTAATGCGCCTGCACAATGCAATCCACACAGCAAAGCATTGCAGCAAAGTGTAAAAAAGTGCCACCGCACCGCGGTACACTGGCCGAGTCGCACCGTGGCAGAGGCACGGCCGGCAGTCCATGCCAAGCACGCGTCCTTGCATTCGTCCATTGGACTCGGAAGAAGCCAACAGATTTTCGAGGTACGGAATTGGGAACTGGGGAGCGAGGAGGGTCGCGCGATTGTAGTTGTGGACTTTCCGTACTGGCGCTATGGTGTTGCACGTGCGTAGGTAAATGGAGACTCGTTGGCGACAGGAGGCCTCTCTTGTGTTTACTTTACAGAAAACCAGTACTTGCCGTGGTGTTGCGCGGGCTCTCTGCGTGAGCTTCCATCAATGCATCTCCTGTTGTTCGGGATATCGGGGCGATAATATTAGTGGCAGCAGCGCTTCGGCTTCGGCGTGCGCCGTAGCTAAGGAGCAACATTTCTCCTGCAGAAAATCCCCAGACCAAACAACAACCTGACAGAGGCCACTGCAGCAACCGTCCGTCACCAACAACTGAACGCCGGGTGCTTTCAAAGCCCATGATATGATTTTCTTTTTTGGATATACCTGAAAACTGAATAACATCAGTCTATCTCGCCCCCTCCCCAACCGTTTCTGGGATCACTAATGACCGAGCTGGTGGCCAGGGGCATTACCTCAATGTCGCCTTACCCTCCGAGAAACACTCTAGTGTTTTTGCCCAAGATGGTACCTATGACTAAACTTACAACCATTTGGGCATCGTGTAGAGCTCAGACGAACGACAAAACCATCTGCCCAACATGCCATGGAAGAAATGGATTGCATATGATTAAGACCTCCAGGATAAAATGTCAAGATCGCTGGTGTTGACATTCACAAAAGCAGACAAACCTCCATCCCGGACAAACATATTTCCCCGTTAGTGTACGGCGTCAAGCAGGTAGTCGGGCACTGGTACCAACACCCGCAAAGAACGGCCTAGAAGATCATTCAGTTGGAAGCCCTGACTGGTATGTACCGCTGAACCGGCAGTTCCCCCGCACTTTGGGGACCTCCACGTGGACCTGCCTCCTCCCCCAGGTTTTCCAGTTACGCCGTAGTCCCGCGCCACACACAACCTCCAACGATCACCACTGTCCACTCTATCCTGTCTAGGAGACCCGACTGGCCACGCACGAGATGTCGCGGGGTTCGTCCCGGATGGATGGTGGAAAGGGTAAGTGGAAGGGAGGAAGTGCCTATGATGAAGCTATCTACCTACATACTGCGCTGTATGGTTTTCCCGCGTTCTCTTATCCTGGACCCCACCTCTTCCGTTTAGTTACTAGGTACCTTCCATACTCGAATCACATGGATGTGGTTCAGTAGTTTATACACAAGCCGGCCGTCGATAATATAATGGATCACTTCACCCGGTTTAGCTGCCGAGATGGGAATTAATAGCACGGCTTCACCCTCTTCCTCCTTGTTCGTGACTTGAATTTTATCCTGTTCTCTTGGATTTTGACCTACAGTTGAATCTCCCCACTATCTATCTACCAACACACCACAATGACCGACTTCCGCGATCTCCGTATTGCCATCATCGGCGCAGGTAAGCTCACTCGGGCGGTGGAAACCCAAGAATGATGTTTCCACCTCACCGGGTACCGAGGATACTGACGTGGAGGATCACGCAGGAATGGGAGGGTTGGGCACTGCCCTCGCCTTCGCCAAAAAGGGGTTCAAGAACATTAACGTCTACGAGACAGCGTCGAACCTGGGCTTCGTCGGTGCCGGTATCCAGATGCCTCCAAACGTCGTCAGGATATTGGATCATCTAGGCTGCTGGGAAGAGATCGAGAAGGAGGCCACAGATGTCAAGGAGACGAGCATCAGGCGTAAGTAGCATGCAGAAACACCCCTTCCTCAGGCCCCCCTTTTTGGCCTCGATCCCAGAAAATAGAACAAAAGACTGACCAGGTCTTCCCAAACTACAGAAGGAAGCACAGGCGAAGAGCTCGCTCACGTATTTATGCCCGACATGCGCGAGAAGTACGGATTTCCCCATTGCACCGGCCACCGCTCCTCTCTCGCCGGCGGCCTCTACAACGGCTGTCTCAAGGAGCCGGCCATCAAGTTCAACTTTGTCACCTCACTCGTCAAAGTCCTCTCATGGGGGCCCAAGCCACGTATCCTGCTCAAGTCGCGCGCGCAAGACGAGCCCTTCGAAGTCGAAGCCGACATCCTGCTCGCCTCAGACGGCATCAAATCCGTCACGCGCACGCAGATGCTCTCTGAGCTCGGGCTCACGTCCGAGGAGGAAGACACGGGACAGGCCGCCTACAGAATCATGCTGCACCGGGATCAGATGAAAGGAGACTCGGAGATGCTAGCCCTCCTGGACTGCGACACGGTGGTGCGCTGGATCGGCGAGCGCCGACACATCATCGCCTATCCCGTAAGCGGGCACACCATCTATAATCTGTCGACGGCACACCCAGACACCAACTTTGCGGGCGCCACCAACGCGACGTACACGACGCGCGGTGAGAAAAAGGCCATGTTCGAGGTGTTTGGCACCTTCTGCCCGCTGGTGCACCGCATGCTTGACTTGGTGCCCGAGGGCGAGGTGTGCGAATGGAAGCTGCGCATCCACAAGACGCTTCCCACCTGGGTCCACGGGTCCGCCGCGCTGCTGGGCGACGCCTGCCACGCGACGTTGCCGCATCTCAGCCAGGGCGCCGCCATGGCCATCGAGGACGGAGCGGTGCTGGCCGAGTGCGTGAGCAGGATTCCTGCAGATAAGCTGGATGATGCCGAGACCGTTACCAAGACGCTCAAGGTGTTCGAGATGCTACGCAAGCCGTATACGTCAACATTGGTGGACTTGGCATCACACTCGGGCCGCGTGCTACATCTCGGTGAGGGCAAGGCGAAGGAGGAACGTGATCGGCTGTTCCGTGACAACGGCAAGTCCGGCGTTGTACCAGATAAGTGGGCAAGCCCGGATGTGCAAAAGATGACTTATTCGCATGACTGTGTAAAGGAGGTGATTGAAAAGTTTGATGAGGTCTTCGCTAGCATTGCATGAGGGAGGGAGGATCAGGTTGCGTGTATAATCTTGGTACTGTACTTTTGACGGTATATGTAACGCGGCGTAAAATGCTGTTTACAATTGAGGTTTTACCTAGCTTTACCGACTTCTTATATGGAACTGGGTCCAAACAAGCCGTCTTCTCTTATATAAGCCATGCGTGTAGCAGAAAGAAGTGGACGAAAACTGTGGACCTATCATTGATACCTCCGTGAGTGTAGATATTGTCAACGTTTGCCCGCCCCTAAAACACATCCGGGTGGTCGTAAACGAGAGCGGTTAAAGTGTGAGGGAAATTCAGATCCACCGGCATTCGTGAACACACAAGGACAGGATATGCAAAGGCGATCGCGTGGGAACGCAAGGAAGATAAATGGTTACTGGTGTAGGAAGAAGAAATAAATCCAACATGGATATGAAAGTAAAACAAGCTAAAAGCAACTGTGTAACCAGCCCAGGTTCCCCCATTGCGCCTCCCAAATGCCTAAGACAATCAATCAAGCCTTGAGAGGCTCATAATTAGCCCTGCCCCCCTTTCTCGAAAAGAACCTCGTGCTAGGGTGAATATTTCACATGCCCGGCTTGTAACTGATAATCAGCGAGACAGTGACGTCGATTTCGAGCGCCACCAGCACCTCTTTATCAGCGCAAACGGACCCTTTTGCTGCCCGTCGCAGCCAGAGGCAGCAAACATACACCCCACAACCATTCCTCTCCTGTCTCGCATCGTTTTTGTTTTGATGCCATTATTTTGTGTTATTGTTCGTTTCTGACATGGTCCCGTTACGGTATTAAGCGGTTTCGAATTGCGTTTAAAAGATGGCATCCAAGCAGCAGCAGAGGGCGCAAGTGCCCAGAATCGCCATACAGACGTTCTAGAAAGAAGTTAGTGAGGATGATCTAAAGCCGAGCCACGCCCACGACAGCCACCTCGGACAAGACTCACATCGGAACCGCTCTTCTGCTCTACCGGCTGCTGGTAGTACCCTTGAGGCGGGGGTCCCTGCTGGTAATACGCTCCCGGTGGTGGTTGCTGTTGCGGGTAGTAGCCCATCTGCGGTCCTTGCTGATATGGTCCTGGCTGTTGCCCGTATTGACCCTGCGGCGGGTATGGGCCTTGCGGCGGGTATGGGCCTTGCGGCGGGTAGCCGGGACCCTGAGGAGGATAGCCCTGTGCCTGAGGGGGATAGTAGCCGCCTTGTTGCGGCGGGGGCTGGCCGTAGGGGTAGGCGCCGTCCTGACCAGGCGGGGGAGTGCCGTAGCCGGTGTAAGCAGCCTGAGGAGGCTGAGGCTGGTTGTATGGGGGTGGATCTTGCTTGCCGGACATTGTGTCTGAGATCTCTCGTGGTTGCGTGTGTGACGGAAAGGTAATGTTGTGGGTTTGAAAAGCTGGGCGCACAGCAGTATGTAGATGGTTTAGAAGGTGACGGGTTCTCGATCGCTCCCCAAGACCCGAGTCATTCGTTCGTTCGCGGGGCGTGGAGAAAGTTCGAAATTGTTGGTCGATCTTCAGGTATTTGCGTGCAGTTTGGTGGATATGGCTGAGGCAGACTCCAAGGGCACTAGCCGTTTCCGTCTGGGACCTTGGGTATGCTTCAAAGACTATACTAGACTAGAGGGGTGGTTAACTGAGGGAGGTCAACAAAGGTCGGCGGGTGGATTTTGGTTGCGGGATGAACGGAGTTTAAAAGGCACCACGGCGAGCACGGGAAAAACGGGGGACGCTGTCTTGTTCGTTCTTTCGAGGCGCAGCGGTGGTCGCGTGGCAATCTGCAGTTAGGCACCTGCTAGCGAGCTATGAGCCATTGTGTACCAGCACCGACCTGATACATGCCGTTAATCTTGCTGCACTAACGAATGGGTATCTCTTACAGTCACTTGCCCCTCTAACGGAACCCTACACTAGGTTTTCGAACCGAACCACGTCGACATGCGACGTTTCGCTATAGCACCCATGTTAACGGGTCGAGATGGTGAATTTCATTGTCATTGAATTGAGACATGGTTGAAACGGGATGGGAAGTGTCCTCCTGCTGGCCGAGGCTCGAAAAGGGGCATCTCGAGTGGAAATTACCTCTAGATAGCGATTTGATGAAGCGTTGCCAAGTCCGGCAATTCGAGAGGTGGGAATTCAATCATGATGATAAATTCCCTGGGCATTTTTACATCTTTTGACGGGTTCCATACTTCCTCCATGGCCTCCTAAAAAGTTCCTCGCGTTCTAGCATTCGATCTCGTATCTCATAAGGATAGAGCTTTTACTCAAGTTGTTCGGTCATCAAACGTTTCATGTGTCAGCTGCTGGTGATCCGTCTCCCCAATGGAAAGCTTGCGCCACAACGGTTTTGGCTTGCTCCCTTAAGGACTAACGATCCGTGCCGCTGATCATTGGCTATATGATGCGTATATGTTCAATGAGAAGGATTGAAGTATACATATACACATGCTTTTGCCGATAAATAACTCTGTAAAGATTAGCAATCATCTCATGCGGCCCTGTGCATGAATTCGAAACCGAGGCCAGTCTGTACAAACAGTAATTAGATTTGAGCGGATGTTTGTGCTTATTTTGTAACAACTTACGGTACCTATACAAGAGCTCTTGCAGTGTGTGCAAATGAGTGGTGCTTTGCCAACAGCTTGGCAGAATCCTCGCTCACTGTGTGTTAGTGCAAATCCATGAATCCACCATCGTAAGCTTCACCAATTGGCCTTGGCATTTATCGATCACGCATTCTCTTTTCACCAATATCAGGTTTCGACACTCACCACTCCCTTCTCAGTTTCTAAACCACAGCGGGAGGAAAAGAGAAGAATGAAATAAACCGGTCAAGGTTCTGCATACAACACCTACTTGGACTCTCAGTTCGCGCGTGGGAAGTGAGAGCTATAGCCAACAGTCACGTTTCATAAAACAACATCACCATTTTCTCACTACAGCAAAACAACGGCCCAAATCAAAATGACTTCCGCCGTCTCTACAACAGAACATCAAGGGACACCCTCCCTCTCTGATGGGCTCCTCCACTTCCCCACCTCTTCGGCATTGAAGCTCGAACCGCATCTTCCACCGCCGCGTCCATCACCATCTCCCACGATCACCACGACCAACAGCAACCCCAACAAAAAGCCCTTTGTAACCCTGACCTTCGCCACTTCCCTCGACTCCTCTCTCTCCCTCGCGCCCGGTGTCCGCACCACCCTATCCGGCCCGCAATCCAAAGCCATGACGCACTTCCTACGCTCTCGCCATGCCGCCATCTTAGTGGGAGTTGGGACCGCCGTGGCTGATGATCCGGGGCTTAACTGCAAGATACTTTCCCCTTTGTCCTCTTCGCCAGAAGGGGTAGGAAATGGAAAGCGGGAACAGCATCCCAACCAGCCCCGACCTATCATCCTCGATCCATCTGCGCGGTGGGAGGTCTCAGAGAAGAGTAAAGTTATTCAGCTTGCTAGACTGAAACAGGGATTGGGACCGTTTATTTTTACCGCGAAAGAGGTGGGAGAGGTGCCGGAAGAGAGGAGGGCGGTGGTGGAGGGAGTTGGGGGAAAATATGTGTGTGTTGAGGGTTTGAAAGTCAAGGGTGAGGGCAAGGGCGAAGGGGCAACGAGTAGAGAAAGTTTTGCCTGGGCTGATGTGCTGCGGACGATTAAGGAGGAAGGCTTGGATAGTGTGATGATAGAAGGGGGAGGAAGTGTGATTAATTCGTTGCTGGCGCTGGAGCAGGCAGGAGAGCAGGAGTTGGTGGACTCGGTGATTGTCACAATTGCGCCGACGTGGTTGGGGGCTGGAGGAGTGCTGGTTTGTCCTCCGAGGGCGGTCGGGAGGGATGGGCAGCCGGCGCCGCCGGTGAGACTTAGGGATGTGTCGTGGCAACCGTTGGGGGAGGATGTGGTGTTGTGTGGTAAAATCCTGAGGTAGAGCATGGGGGACAAAACATGAAGTCTAGCTAAAATCAACTCGAGGGTGTCAACTTGCTGTCGCAATTCACTGACTCCAAACTGATCACGCATTCCTATCCTCCTGGAACAGCTTATGGCACCCAGCTCCGCGGGTACGGGTCTAATGCTTATCATATCCACGTTGATTTTACCTAGCCACTTTACCAAAATCGCCTCGCTATCGCTTACAACGAAGGAGCATTCAAGCTGAGAACTTATTCTGACACTTGCATCCATGTTATTGTATAGTTGACGGTAGCCAATCGAATCCGAGGTGATCCAAGACACTATCACCAACGACCTGACCGATATTTTTCTGAAGGCATCAAGGTCATTCCTGCCTACCGACCGCTTCCACCATGTAAGCCCGTTTCGCTCACGTGTTTAGTGCTCAAGACTTCTTCAATCCAAACAGATTTCTCTTCTTCTTCTCCTTCACTGGCTTCTCTGTCTTCCCGGCGGGCGGAACTGGAGGCCTTGCGCCACTTCCCCCAGCATGCGGAGAAGCTGTACCACTGTTCATTGTCATGGCACCCATTGCCTGCGTTGGGGGTTGTACCGATGCAGCTCCGGGAGGAGCGGCTGCGGGCGGCTGTTGCATGGGCTGCGGTGGCGGTTTTGGCTTAGCATAAAAGTGCTCAGGGACCTGGGGCTGCGGGCGGTCCATCGGCAGGCCGAGCCTTCTTCTATCCATCGAAAGGTCCTCCAGTTGTCTTAGGTATAGTTGTGGTGTGAGCATGTGGCTGGATACAAGATAGATGTCGCGGTTTCGCTTCTCTGATTCTTCGTAGCATATCCGCGCCTCTGAGTAGGTCGCCCCACCGGCCATGAACACGATGACCCTTTGTCGATTCTCAACCTGCCGGCGATTAGCTGAAGCCCACCTCGGTGCTGCCGAGCGGAGTGACCCTCCCGTTGTCATAGCAGCATCGGCAGCCCCACCATCGGTTGGAGGTCGTGTAAAGGGGAAAATCGCTGGGTCGAGACAGTTGCTAAACAGATCCTCAAGCATGTGCTTGACAGCGGGTTCGAATCGAGAGAGGAAATTGTCTTCGTCCGCCGGATTCTTTACTTGGGTCCGTGGGAACAACGGAGGATGCGGTTTTCGTTCCTCCTTCAGTTTCCGTGTAGGCCGGGCACCCAAGTGCTGGAGATTGGTGATTTTGACCTTTTCAGCGGGCTGCAGGGCCGCATGGTTGAGCAGCCTGTCAATGTCATCAGTGATAACCCCGTCGCGGTATAGCACGTAGATGGCGATTAGCCGCAGCCGTTCCACCCAGGTAATAGCTTCATCATCCAAAAGCCGCACCATCTGCTCGAGAATATCTTTGGGCTTCTTATAATCCTCATCGAGACCGGTAGCCAATGTCTGCTCCACTGAAGCGACGTCGGGCAACTTGCGACGCTGGAAGATGTTCATGGATTCCTGAGCCATGGTGAGGTGAAGCGAGTAGGCCTCCTTCATTTCCTGGAACTGCGGCAGGCCCGCCAACATGTCTCTGATCGCATTCAAACTCGTCGTATCCTGATTTTGGTTGGTGAAGTTGGGGTTCTGCTTGATGAAGTTTTGGAAGTCGCTCATAAGTTTTTCAATCGTGTCCTTCATATGCCGGTGTCGGTTCTCGACCCACACCTTGTCTTTATCAGACAACTCCATGTCCTTCTCCTCGGCCTCTGGCGTGCCCTCGTTGACGGTCATGTGGAAGGTCACTTTGTCGCCTTCCTTGATAGGAAGGAGGTCGTGCGCCATCGCCTGGTATGTGAACTCGTGGACTAATGGTGCCATCAAGTCCATTGATCTGTCCGCAATCAGTAGGTATCCCTGCGGCCGTGTAGTTTGTGGCGGGAAGTCGGCCTTGAACTGTTTGTAAGCGTCAAGCTCGTCCTGTACGAGCGCAGCAAGGCGTCCGCACAGCGCGCTGGCACGATATTCGCTGTTCCTGGGTGCGAAGAACCTGATCTTTGGATACTCGCCCAGTGTTATGCATACAGCGGCAATCTGCAAAGGCTTTAGTCCATGGAACAACAGATGGGGACGGACTGGACATGGATATGCCCTACCTTTTGAGCCAGAGCGTCCAGATGTGGCATTGCAACGGCCTCGCAGCTCGGATTATACAGAATAGGAAAGCTATAGGGGTCCTTAAAAGACACCAGGTGTGACTCGCGAGGGAAAAAGTCAACCAGTAGCGGTCGTGAATCTACGTAGGTCTGATTAGCAAAAATGCCCCCTTAACCTTGTCCAGGCTTAGGCAAGGTACCTATATTCTGAGGAGCAGTGGCCAGTCGTGCCCTTAGTTCCCTCCCAAGAATGCCTGTCCAAAGCACGGTAGAGTTGCGATAGCGGCCCTTTGCCAAATCAAGGATCAAGCACTCGACAATATGCGGGCGAGGCGACAAAATATAGATAGCATCCATGCCGGAATTCTCGTCTCTCGGTTCCTCGATTTCTTGTATATTAGCGATATTGACGTTGAGAATGTCATCTTCTTTGACGGAGCTTTCGATTATCTTTTTGGAGACGTCGTCGACTATCAAAATCCTCCACTATAGTGCACAGTCGTATCAGTATAGGACTCCTGTCGGCCGCGGTGGAAGGAAGAGGGGAGTGGTGCTCACGTCGCGCTGGACAACACTCTTGATGGCATTGATAATGGCTGTATAGCGAGGGGGGTTAGCAGCCGTTCTCCTTGCGGAAACCCCACGCACCACGGGGATTGTCGCATACCATCGTGATGCTCCTTTACTATCGAGGCTGCTTGGTCCATAACTGCTGAAGTGGATTCGAAAGTTATGATTTGGGCAGAGCCGGCTCTTGCCTGTGATTACAATTGGAAGCCCTGGGGAGATGAAAGAGCAGAGGATGATTGACGTGGCTGTTCGAGTTGTGGTGCGTAGAGGCAGACCATCCAGATGCGACGACTCGACGAGGGGATGGCGATGCGCGCGGCGGCGGTCTGTGACAGGGTGAGGCTGTTTGTTGGTTGTTGTTCTTTGGTAAAAGGGCACGGATCCGGGGGCAGGGAGAGCAAGCGGGACGGAACAAGGTCAGAATGTTTCCATGAACTCGGTGAGTGTCTTGATTTGTGTTAATTTCGTTTGGATGGGGGAGAAGTGCGCATCACTCCCCAGCGAGCCGCGAAGGAGGTTCGAAACAGCCGACACGGTTCCAGGTTGAAGGAGGTTCGTCTCGCGGTGTAGCATTGCGGGTCAGGTACCTCCATAACTGGCGGGGACCATTGTTCGGCGGTGCAGGGGTTTGACGGCTGTGATTCTGCGCGCCGGGGACCACTACGTTCAAACCAGAGGGGTCTTTGTCCATCTTCTCCGTGTTATCCAGCGACACGCCGATACCTCTACCACCACTGAGATGATATCGCACCGAGTTCCCTTCCACGCCCGGGCCGTTGCTACACCCACCGTCAACAGTAAACCATGAATCTATAACCGAAGTCTCAAGACGATGTCCAATACAGTTCGTCTCACGGGAATCGCGAGCGACCATGCATGGCTTTCGACGCCATATCCGTCTCGCCTTTCACCGGTAATATATGTCTATATATGTATATGTGCATGTGTATAATCCAAGCTGAGACTAGCTTCGACCTGCGAGACCCGTATCAACGGCCGCTTAAACTTAAACTACACAAACCCACGCGAGAACCGCCGGCACGCTCTGACGGGGGGGAAGCTCCAGCGCTCCATGGCGGGGCCCGCAACGGACTTTGCCCCACCGGCTCCCGAAGTGTGGAGTCCTCCCGGCTTAGCCCAACCTCGGCGCGGGACCGACCCGTCTGCCACAATCATGAGGGTCAGCGTCGATTCCATCAACATCGGGGAATCACTCAAAATATTACTCGCCAGACCCCGAGGAGAATACTGGACGACTGACGAGGGTCTGGGAAGCGACTCTGTTGGTAACCCTTGCCGTCGGCAACAATCTGGAGCAGTGATGTACATCCTTGTCTTCGCAGCCATCCGCCGAGTCGCTATCCGTAACAGGGACCTTGGCGAGACGTCGTTAGGTGTCAATACATGCCATCAAGGTTGCTGCTTCACTGTCACCTTTGTCCAGGAATCGGCAAGCTTCGTTGGATGAGCCTTGTTACGAGAGAGAGCGAGCGGGTGGACTACTCTGTCTTGCTTGACGCAGCTTTAGCTTCCAGCAACGAAAACCGAGCGTTCCGAAGCTGTCATGTCTGCGAATGAACATGCTCTTTTCATGAGGCTCCATTACTGCAGACCAGACTCTGTCCTTTTTCGGGTATAAACGTAGTCGGGACACTCGAAGCATGAAGCAATACAGCCACCATGCAAGGGTAATATGTATCACCCTTGCGTTGATCACAGAGATGTGGTCACATCAAAAGCGAGGAGGTAGGGAGTTTAGGATGCTGTTTTACTGCCGACTCCAGTTCGTGGACCTGTACTTAAGTGTAAAAGACCCACCTGTCTAGGAGCATCCGGATGGCGATGGCCACCCAAGGACTACTATCACTGGTACCATCTCTGCCGCTGTCTAAGAATACAGTCTCGGAAACTCTGGTACGATTAAGAAGTCGGCAAACGACCGCGGTTTATATCGAAGCTATCTTTTGCAACGTTCTTTGTTCGGACGACTGGAGCTGTCTTCACCAAATTGCTCCCGTCCTTCTCTCTCTCTCTTTTTCTCCACTCTACTTTTCTTTCTTCCTTCCTCACTAAAAAATCGAAAAGCAGAGAAGAAAGACGAGAATGATAGAGACGGCAACGTATGATACGGCAATTAAGAAAGCGGTGGATAAGACAGCGGTAGAAACGGCGACGGTGGAGACATGGTAGAGAAAACAACGCTGAAGAAGGCGATGCTGAAGAATGAGACTGGCGATAATCTTATCGATAGGCGACATCGAATGAGGACGATACCTACCTGTATCGTGAATAATTTCAGGAACTGAAAGGCAGGATACCGAGCAACACTATTGACCAATAAAAATCTGGATTGGCAAGATGCCCTGACTAGCTGTAGCTGTCTGACGAATGAGAGCACAGAGAACAGCATTGTACTGCGTAAGAAAATCTGGCTGTACGCTAGAGGAACCGTCCTTCTACTCCGCTTCGGTGGATGTAGCTTATTAGGTAGATCCCCAGACTTTAATGTAATCCACCTCTTCATCGTTAAAGCACGCTTCGATGACTCCATGTACACACATACATTCAGTACTTGTGATAAAGAGAGGCGCGCTGTTTTGAAGTACACTATAACAAAGTGGTGTTTGTTTGTTTGTTTGTCCATAGTCATCTATGTTCACTCTAAGAGATTTGCCAGCATAGTGGCTTCCCCGAACATGGAGGGAGGGATTTAGGATTTTTACCAACCACCAAAGAGGCGGAAGCGATGGTGATGGTGATAGCACGAAATTCCTTTCAGTGTCGCTCCTTGCAAAAGTAGGATGGGTTAACCTCATTTGGGTTAGAGATTCGTCACATTGTTGAGGTATATAGTCACTTTATCCACGCTTACTTCTGGGTTGTTGAATTCTTACCAGATGGGATGAAAATCCCATTTACCCTGAAATCCAATTCACGCAAAAACTGAAAAGCCCTCGAGTCTTATTCGAAGCGGCTGTTGACTCTCCTCTCTCTCTCTCTCTTTCTCTCCCTCTCCCCTGTCTCTTTCTTCCCTCCTCCTCCTCTTTCTCCTTACCTCAACTCTGCTCACGTCCCTCCCCCTTTCCCAACCCAATCAAGGTATTCGTTGCCTCTTTTCACGCCCACACATCCCGGACCCATCTGGATCTCTATCCCTGACTCAAAGATGTCTACCAACAATTCCACCGAAGATGACGAACCAAAGTTACCACACGGCATTGTTTTCCAGGATATCGAACGCACAGCTGGCGAAGAGGACGATGGGCAAGACAAAGATCAATCAGAGACATCTACTCGGTTTGGTTCGCTATGTTGGCCGAACTTCTTAAGCACTATAAAGGAGGGCGACGCCGACGACAACCGCTCCAAGAAGGGGAATCCAAAGTGGTACCAGAAGCTCATCGACGCCGGTATAGAAGAAAACGGGATTCAGCCGGTTCCGCTTGAAGGGAGGACTTCTACGCAGTATAATCAGTTGTTTACTGTCTTCTTTACTGGTTTGTTGTGTTTATTGCCGTAAGTCATTACCCTATCCTTCGGGTTTTGAGGGTCACGGCCTAGCCTAGTGTAGCTGATCAGCTGCTGACTCGTCATTGTTCTTGGCTTTTGAAAAGGATACCAACTGGCATGCTGGCCACTCTCGAGTTTGGCTTGAGTCTGAGAGATGCTTCGTTGGTTATCGTCTTCTTTGCGCTGCTTACATGCCTCCCGCCTGCCTTCATGGGAATCGGAGGTATGGAGACCGGCATGAGGCAGTTTGTGCAAGCTCGATATTCATTTGGGTGAGTCCCAACCTCCACTTCATCGCACCTGTTCCTCCATTTTATAAGAGCCATGTCCTAACCAACACCCATCCTTCTCGCAGCCTCTACCTAGTCATTATCCCCCTCCTCCTCAACGCCGCCACCATAACCGGCTTTACCCTCATGTCCGCCATCGCGGGCGGGCAGACACTCGCAGCCATCAACCCCTCCCACGTCAGCATAAACGTAGGCATCGTCATCACCTGCCTCGTCGCCTTCGGCATCTCCCTCCTCGGCTTCAACTTCGTCCACTTATGGGAACGATGGACGTGGATCCCCAACCTGATTGCTCTCGTCATCACCGTCGGCTGCGGCGGCCGCTATCTCCATCTGCAATCGCAGCCTGCAGCACCGGCCACTCCCGCACAGATCCTCAACCTTGGAAGCCTCATGGCAGGATATTTCATCACGTTTGGCGGGATGGTGGGCGATTATTCCATTTACCACAACCCAAGAGGCGTTCTCTCCAAGTCGTTCAGCGCCAGAGCCCGCATCTTCACCTACCTCTACCTCGGCTTGTTCCTCCCTTCTGTTCCACTCTTCATATTGGGAGCCGCCATAGGCGGTGCCGTTCCCCAAGTTCCTGCGTGGCAAGCCGCTTACGCTTCGACGGGCATCGGGGGCGTGATGATGGAGATGCTTGCTCCCGCGGGCGGGTTTGGCAAATTCGTGCTGGTGGTGCTTGCGCTCAGCGTGATTGGAAACATTGCCATCTCCATGTATACCATCTCGTTGAACCTCGAAATGTTGATGCCGCCGTTACCCTTTAAATTAAGGGTCCATCGATTCGTGTTTATCCTGGTGACGATGGCGGTCATGATCCCGATGGCGATCAGAGCGGCAATGAAGTGGGAGACTAGTTTGATCAATTTCCTCAGTATCATTGGGTATTGGTCTGCGTGCTTTGATGTTGTTTTGATACTGGAATTGGTGGTGTTTAGAAGAATGGACTATGCGACCTTTGATCAAGCTATCTGGAACGTGGGGAGGGAGTTGCCACCTGGGTTGGCGGCCTTAGGTGCCTCGATGCTGAGTTGGGCGCTGGTGGTCCCGGGAATGGCGCAGTCGTGGTATGTTGGCCCGATTGCAAAGAGCACTGGGGATATTGGGGTTGAGGTGGCTTTTGTGTTGACGGGCTTGTTTTATCTACCTTTGAGGTGGCTGGAGATCAAGATTCGGGGCCGATTCTGATGGACGACGTGAGTACGACTATAGTCCCGCTAGTTACAAACGGTCAACTCGGGTTGCTAAGGTAAGAAAGTGGTAGAGGTGTACCTACCATAGCCATCGGGTAACAAATCAAGGAAACGAACATGTCGGCTACTCATATAGTTCAAGTCGAATATGTGACGTATCTTGATATGGTGCTGATGAGCTTACTGGTATCGACAGTTATTAACATCTTTCGAATACCCTGTACAAGCCCTTGAGGTTCGCGACCTCGAGAATACCCGTCTGCATGAGCGACTTGGTCGCCACAAGCCTCGACTTGAAAGCCGGAAAAAGATAATGTTCCAATGCGAACCGAACATGGTGTCTGCGAGCAGCTGTTTCGACATCGACATCCTTGCCATCACCTTGCACAGACGATAGATCATCGGTACCGATAGTCGCTGGCAATCGCTCAGGGACATAGAAGATGGCCAGTTCTTTGAGGAAGCCCTCGAAACAGGCCTTCTCTTCTGACCAGTCTACACGTGGTCCAAGCTCCAAAAGAAAACGCGGCAATTTGGCCATGGACGGCGTGTAGCCTTTGACCAGTAGTGGGATGCTTAGCAGCTCGCCGGCCGGAGATATTTCAAAGGAGAAATACTCGAGAAGCATCTCTCGCCGTTCAACCAACTGATCTGCCACCAACTCGACGATTTCGGATACGTCCATCTCATCATCTCCGTCTTTATCCAATCTCCCAGTTGCATCTGCTGTTGCCGTTCTCTCGGATTCGGCGGCCATGCTCAGCAGCTCTCGAAGATCGAGAGGTGGATCAAAACGTATGGTACCAAAGTTACCAAAATCCGTCAACCCCAGTTGATAGAAGTATTCGTAGCATACCCGTCCATAGTCAACCAGGTACAACTTTACACCACCCTGGATGGCAGCAAGACGACGACGTTCATCTACAATTCCGACAAAGGTGTGATTGGCAAAGATCTCGGTCAGTTCGTGGTGCATCTCTTCGCGGACTTCGGCGCGCAGTTCGCGTACACTGATCAAGCGACAGGCAGTAGCCCCACGCTCGACTGTCTCGTACTTGATCATCTCAACGTCCATGTTTGTGCCATTAATGGTTGCTTTGACGCCAGACGTGGAGGGAATTTCATCTCCTTTTGACCCTGCTGCCATGGTTGACGCCGGCGGTAACATACTGGTTATCTTACGCATGTTGGTATCAGTCCGCACAAGACTGGATTCATTGCGTGCTGGGGTCTTGCGGGCTCCTGAAGCCGCACCGCTGGTCTTGGAAGGTGTGCTTGAAGACGCTTGTTGATCTGAGGCCGACCATGTACCACCAGGGAGAAGGGTTTGGGTGAGAAAAGTTCGGCTAGTGTCGACAGCAGCCAACTTTGATCGGATGTGCTCGCAGATGGCCTGGATGATCTCATGTTCATTGAGGAAGTTCACTTCGCGTTTCGTAGGGTGAACATTAACATCGACCCGCTCAGGGGCAATTTCTAGGCTGAGGTAGACAAAAGGGTGGCCGTTTTTGGGGAGAAAGGAAGCATATGTTTGCTCAACTGCCTTTCGAATGTTGGAAGACTCGACACATCTATGGTTGATGAAGAGCAGCAGAGTTGTCTTTTTGAGACTGTAGTTCGCGTTAGTCGCCAAGCCCTCAGCCTTGAAACCCCAGCGGTCATCGGATGTGGAGTATTCGATGAGTTCGTTGGCGACGCTGCCTCCGTATATCTGCCGGATTCTGTCGGTACTCGAAGCACTGGCCTGAATGGCAATGCTTGTCGATGACTCGCCGTGTTTTTTGCACGAGAAAGCAACGTGCGAACAATGTACAGCATAGCGGCCAACCATGTCGATGATCTTGTTGTATTCGTCAGAGGTAGATCGAAACGCGCGCCGGCGCGTTGGAATGTTATAGAATAGATCTTCGACGGTGATTTGCGTGCCTTGTCGTCCAGCGACGGGCTTCGGATCGGGCGACTGGCCGGGTTTTGCGGGAACCAGCTTTCCGCTCCCGTAATGAGCACGCCAGGCGCAGTTGGATTCCTGAGTCTTGGTGGTGACGGTCAGATGTGCAATGTGGCTTATGCTGGCAAGAGCCTCACCGCGGAAGCCGTATGTTGAGATGGACTGAAGATCCTCGAACTTTTGCAGCTTGGACGTGGTGAAGCGTTCACATAGAATGGGCAAATCCTGCTTGTCGATACCGCAGCCATTGTCTGTGATCTGGAGGAGCTTGAGGCCACCGTCCTTGACCACAATTTCCAACGAGGTAGAGCCGGCATCCACAGCATTCTCCATGAGCTCCTTGAGAGCATGAACAGGAGCAACAATGATCTCGCCAGCGGCAATCTTGTTGACAACGTCCGGGTCGAGTGGCTACAAGTACCGGTCAATAATGTCATTGTCTTGGAAGATAGAGGAGCGTGTCTTCTTACCCTGATCCGACGTGGAGCATGACCGCTGTCATCGCCGAGCACGCTCGCCTTGCGCTTTTCACCCCTAGGGCCATCAATGGCCATTGCATCAGCCATCCCGCCCAAGTTTACCCTCGCAAAGTGAATGAGATTGCCAACAGTGGGCTCAGCTAAGACCGGCTATTGGGCTCGTCCGTTAGAGCTGTTGGCCGTCTGGCGAGAGACAACGACCGCGTAAAGAAGCCTTCAAGTTTCCTCTGCTAGACGCGCTGGGCGGTTTGCAGACGGATGGTTTGCTACAAACAAACACGGTCCATCTGTTCCGAAGGAAAACGTGATCCCGTGAAGCTGCCACTCCACCGCAGGCAGCGATAGTAGTCGGGCTACGATCAGGCTAGTTAGAACACCGTGAAGGAATGAGCCAGTCCTACTTTCCCCTACGGACGAACCTGAAGACTCGCGGTTGTCAGTTGTATGTACAAGGCAGGTACGAACGAGATGTTCTACGAATGGAAGGCAACAGCGGAGCCCGGTCACTGAAGTGACCAATGCAGCGGCCCAGTTCGACACTGCCATGGCAGCCTACAAGTGCGGGACAATGTGGGCCTTGGGCACGTGCATTACCTACGCTCGATTGGGCCATGCAGGACGGGCTATGAGGTCTTCTCAGGCATCACAACGAAGATTTCGACCAACGAATTCGTCACAACCAACCAACCGACAGTTTTCTCATCATCCTCCACACACCAGACGTACAATCAGAGGCAACCCAGCATCACCCTATTCAAACCACGGCTCACGAACATTGCAAACTTGAAGATCGCCTCAATCATTCAAAGAAATGCGGGACCTTTCCACTTCACCCCGCCATGTCTATGGCTAGTATGGGGTTGAGGTTACGAGTCTACATATTTGGCTTCTGCGATGCGGTTCACGACCACGGATACTCGCCTTCGTTTACAAAGCACGACACCTTGCAAATTGACGGAACATCCACATTTTGCTCTACGTATCTGGTGCCTGTCCGACCTCAATTCAGCTCGACTGAGCCACAACTTCTCGGAAAGGCCATCACCTTCTCCGGTCATGGAATATCTCATTCTGTGCCGGATCTGCCTCTGCGGCCGGGGCTCGGAGGTCTCCAAAGCCAGGCTTCCATTGGGACTGATGTCACTGATTTTGTCAAGTGACAAACACATTACTTTGCGCCCCAGAATCGCAGGAAGATATCATGTCTAGCCTATGATTGTATCTCTTTCTCTTTTCTGGCCTTCTCGAGTTCCTCCCGTCACTTTTATTCCTGATATCAACGAGGTACAGTGTCTTGCATGCCACCCTCTTTCGCTCTGGCTTCATCGGGACCCCTGCTCAAGGGCTGGAAGCCACGCTCCCGCCCCATCCTTTTCGAGGCTTCCCGGAGGGCTCTTCTCAGCGCAGAGGTGAATATCTTGCCAAACTCGGTGGGGAGGGATATAGCAGCTATTTCCTGCCTTTGTCATGTCGACGCCATCAGCATCACCAATTCATTTCATCTTCGACAAGTCATACGAAAAGTAAACTCAATATCAAACTTCATACCTAAAGATGGTTGAGAAACAATCACCGGAATCTGCTTGGTCGTTTTCTCTGGGATCCACTCCGAGTGATGCAGGCTCCTCTGTTCAAGTCCATGCGGACAATGGAAGTACCAGGTGCGTATGCTGACTTCATTATCCCTCTGGCTAGGTTTCGTTTCTGACCATTTAGCAGAACACAGAGCCTATCAGGAACAAAACGACCGTTGACCCCCTCGGTACGAGATCCAACACGGATAACTGTCGATCCTGTCAAAGAGAGATTATCTCGGACGGGCCCGCCATCACCATCTGTTTCATCGCATAGTAGCGAGCCACCACTTCGTGATGACCTACTGAGAGATCTTATTCATTCCTACGATACCCATCTCGTCACCACTGCTTCAGTACCCGTCAGCCACAGCCTTAAACGTCCACATGATGGGGCGCTCACAGACATCGAACCCCTAGCAAAAAGAGACAGGCTTATCGAAGAATTAGAACAGATGGCACCCACTGGGAGTAAAGCAGCCATTGAATCCTTACCTACCAGACAAAAAGAGATCAATGTGCACGGCGATCCGGTAGCTTTCACTCGTGCTGAGACCACAATACCGACTATAGAAGGGCATACTAGAGTCATTCTACCGATAAGGTCGTCCACGAAAAGACAGACCAGTCGGCAACAACGCAGACAAACAACCGCACTGCCTGAACAGCATGAGCATGCGGAAACAAACTCAGAGCAAGGCACCTGAGAAAGCCGCCTGCTTCATGATTCTATGCAGTGACCAACAGCATTGATGTAACTTCTGGTTGATGATCTTGTGTTTTCTTTTTTCCTCTACCCATGCAAGTTCAACTTGGCATAGGCCTTACGAACCAAACAAATAGTCCTCAAGGCGTCGGTACCTCAGCTGGTCGAGTGGGGGTGCATCGATGTCTCGATCACGCAGAAAGCGGAGGAACAGCTACAACAACGGCAGTAGCTGGTCGAATGGGGTCCAATCAATATCTCGGCCGCGCAGCAGACACAAGTTCAGCAGGACCCCTCGTCTTTGCCCTCACCCTCTTCCAAGCTTTAACAACAGGTAGCTGCCCCTTCCTCCTTGACTTTAACGGAGGGATCCAATACCGGTTTCGGTCCCAGCTCCAAATCAGCAAGCTCAAGACCCACGCTACCCTCGAGGACATCGAGGTCCAACTCCACATAATGCTCGGCATGATCAACAATATGTCTCGAAACATCCGACGAGAAGTCATCACGCGCCATGAGGAGGTCAGGGATTTGTTAATCCGCAATCGCAACGGCAATTGCGATGAAAATGAGGACAACAACAACAACAACAACAACAACAACAACAACAACAACAACAACAACAACAACAACAACAACAACAACAACAACAACAACAACAACAACAACAACCACAACAACCACAACGACAAAGGGAAGGGCACTGACAACGGAAATGGCAGTGGCCATAGAGACGGTTTCCACCATGGTTTGCCGCCTTCAGCATCACCTGGTCCTGGATCCTTACACCCGAGTCCTCGTATTCCCGATGAAGTACGCGCAACTGACGCCATGATGCATCCAGGAATATCACCAAAGTAGACGGAGGTTTCCGTGCGACCTATATATCTTCTCTGGAGCATTCAGGAAATGTCGGCAAGTACAGGGAGACATTAAGAGTTACTCTACAGCGGCTGCAAGCAGACAAGAGCTTAAATCGGAGGCTCACATCAATTAGAACCCAGGCCGCGAATCCAGCGCCCGAAGTCCCCCCCTGGTTCGGCAATCGACGAAACCAAAGTTCATCAACATAACAGTCGGATACCAAGGGGTAATGGTGTATCTAATTTTTAGTTTCCGTGTCCAGATCAACCTGGGTATGCGGAATAACGGGGGCGCGGACAGTACAGGCATATTCTCAAAAGGCGGATGGATATAGGAGTCATGTGATGGCGACGGGCTGGTTGGCGTAGAGAAAGGAAAAGAAATCAGGACGAAGACAAGTATGAGTTGCGTGATAAGAAAGCTGGGGCTTCAGAGAGAAAGGGACAACAGGGAAGGGGGCAATAAAGAAATACGAGAAATACATATAAAATCGTGATTTCTCGAATCTATATCCGCTGCGCAGCATGTCACGAAACGATCAAGGTGGACTGACTGCTAGGGGCATCTGGTGAAGCCATACTTTTACGTACACAAGATGGGAATATTTTCTTCCCAGAAGTACCTCGAATCAGCTGGGCCGGCACGTCTTATCCTCATTGTCAAATCAATATTAAGGTATGCCGCAATGAACCCATTTTCTGCCATCAAAGTCATCTTCGTTACAAGATACGTAGCTATCTGGCAAGTTGCTATTGACCAGAGGTGGCACTGTCTGAATCAAACCATATCATATCAGCTTTCGACGTACCAATTTGCTATTTAACGATCCAATCCCAGACTCTACACTCAAAGAAAAACAACCGCCGCATCGCCTGGACTCTTTCAGTTTCATAGCTATACTATATCTTTTGTTGACGGTGATGCCAACTAGGTAATCTGAATAGCTAGGCACAAGCACCAAGGTGATGTGGTGTTTCAAGTTGAGTACAGTAATGTACACTACCCCGCCTTATCCCGCTTTACCTAACGAGGCTTATCTTACCTAACTCTACCAGACCCTTAAAGCAGCGTAAGAAGTGTGTGTGAGGGAGAGAGAAAGAGAGAGAGAGAAAGAAAAATTCCCGAAGGGTGGGATTTTCTCCGAGATTAATTAGGTTGCCCGTGCTTCAGTTGGACAAACCAATGAATGAGGGATGTTCGCAGCGGGTGCAATCCTATGCAACAGGGTGTAGACTTGGCCTCGCTGCGGCGAGGTACCTACCCAAGTGTAGTACGTACAGATCGGTGAATGTTGGAATAACCTAATGTTAGGTGTGGAAATAGGTACTGACACCAATTTCTATGCCTATGCGGAGGGAGTTAGGTAACTATTGGGCTTTTGTGAAAGATTGTGTGAGATCATGATAGGGTGCTAACAGACACCCGCCAGATAGCAATTGGCTCTTGACATCCTGGAGCCTGTACGGATTACCTAGGTTACTGTGTAATTGCGCGCCGTCAGCGTGCATGTATTCCTGACCATCGATCCATACTGCGCATCAAGATGGGACTTCTGAATTAAGGGTAGTTTCTACTGCCACCTATTGTATTTATGTACAAAGTTGTCGTTTTATCAGTGTAGATAATATTGAACGTCGTTGGTGAGAGGAATGAGCCGAATAGTCACCTTAGCTTATATTAGTCAATTCAAATAGGTCAAATGCAAACTGAAATAAGAGACCGTTCCCGTGTGCCCTTTAAGCTTATTAATGCGAATGTTCAGAGCTTGGTGGCTTGTGTTTCGGAAGAAGAAGAACGGGCATATGCCATGGTCAAAGTCCGTGAAACTGAAACGGTATTGTCTTCGGGCTGTACTGTAGGAGCCACCGCCTAGGTAACATGACCGTGTGCGTGGCATGCGTCTGTGTACTTTTTTGTGTTGCTGCGGCTCCCGAAGCAAGCTTCGTTGCTTGAACATCGGAAGGACGTTTGGGTTTCTTTGTTGGGCTGTTCCTGTTGTTTGCTCTCTGGCCAGTTTGCCCGAATCACGCTTACCGCAGCCCTTGCTCCTTTGACCCCGAAACTTTAATCTAACGTCGGTTGACTTTCACCTACCTATCTCAGTGCCTTTTTTCCTTTTTTTTTCCCCTCCTATCATGGTGTCATTACGCGGACATCACGCAATGGTCAGTCCAGGCTGAACAATGAGACGTCCACCTTGATTTACCGCACCGCTGAACCTCAAACCGTCAATCGGCGCAACCTCGTGTCTGGTTTGATCATCGGCCCCCGTTGCCTTATAACATCCTCGAATGGCAAAAAGCGAGCGGGTTCCGTTTTCTTCAATCCACGCATAGTATTAAATAGGACTTCTCCCCATGCAACGACGTAACATCAAACTGGTGCGAAAGAATCAATTTCGGACTCGCCGTTATTGATGGAAATATCCGCACAGCGTCAATAGCCGTCAAGCCACCAATTGCAGTACACGAACCACATCGGTTCCAAATCATAACACGCAGAAGCTTTGGGTATAACCGGAAGCCAAAAACGAACGCCAGGACCTCGCCGAGCCCAAAATCAGAGGATAATGCAGGAAGAACATAGACGATATGCGTATCGAGGATAACATCAACCGGCAGGAGACAACATGCTTGGAAAACTCAGCGACAACCAGCCCAACCAAGGAACCATGTGCAAGCTTTACATCGGTATAGTCTTGATGCAGGCGGCACACGTTGACATGGGATACTGAGGGGGAGAAAACAAAAACAGGAAACACAAACGAGAAGAAAATGCCCAAAACCAAGAGAAAGCCAATTAAATTCTTTTTCCAAGAAACACTCTGAAACGCGACCGAAGAAGTACCATCCCCAATATATCAGGGTGTCATCATAAAACCCTTCACCCATCGCAGCCCAGCTCTGTTCTCATCAATGAGAACGTAGCTTACACGTTGTCTATCGGCGGGCGTGCTCAGCTGGATTGGGATGGTCGAGCAAACCGCCAATATCGAATCGCGCCCGTTCCTCCCGGTTTCGGTATTGCACCTCCTGCAGTTGAACAGCATTCGGTTGGTGATTGCGTATCGGCGGTAGCTGAAACGCTGGCAACGGATCAGGTCGGCTTGGCGAAATCAACTCGCTCCTTGGGATTTGAAAAGGCGGCATCGCATTGGAGTATTCCGTTCTGCGTGGCGACGAGATATATGCCGATGGCACGTTCGCCCCAAATCCCGTCATACTTCGTGGCGGCGGTGGGGCGGCCGGCACATGTGCTCCTTCTCCATATTCGTTATTGGCAGGTCGCGAATGCCGGAGACCAAGATCTGTCGCGACGGGTGGCCGTTGCGTGTATGGCTGGTATGACCGAGTCGTCTCTCTGATACTAGGTGGGGACTCAGAATAATTAAACGGTCGCACCGGGCTCATCAGCAGCAGAACGACATAGTATATGGAGTCTCGCTTGGACAATGCAGTCCGAAGTGACAGCTGCCGCGGTAGTCCATCTTGTCCCAGGAAGGTGAGGATATCTTGTCTGTCCAGCGGGTATTTTGAGATTTCCTCCAAGGAGAAGCTCAACATGTCCATGACCCTTTCTTCCTCTGCTTTTCCGAAAATAGGTGGAAGATAGTTTGGTTCGTTTCTCCTTTGTTGGTCCACCATCTGTCGCTGGATATACGCTACCTTCTCTCGATCATGCCCCACAACCAAATCAGCGAGTCTGAGGCCATGAACAGACACTCTTCCGATCGCATCCATGAATGTCTTCGATGCTTTTCCAACTTGAAGATCGACTGTCAAATAGGCCACTGGCTCGGGAGGTTTAATTGGCATAGTCAAGGGCGCGAGGAAAACGTTCGAATCATGCGCTGAGCCTCTTTCGGCGAATCGCGACATGGCGGAGTCGGGCGGCTGTGATTTGAGGACGCGGAATGACTGTGTTCGGCGAAGGGCGTCGTCGAACGTAAGGGTTGACGAAGAACCAGAATGATATTGAGATGACAACGGCCTTCTCATCCCATCCGATGGAACACCAAACCTTGCACTGTCGTATTTTATATCCGCTCTATCATCTCGCAACCGTGGGCGGCCACGTTTCTTGTGTTGAACGTCGATGCATGCGTCATCTTTGCCGCTACTGGAGCACCTCGAACATGGACGCCGTGCTGCAATCAGTTAGTGAAGTCCTGACGCGGGTGAAGTACAAGCCAACAATCTGTTATTTATTTGAAGCGCCCCACAGCCCTGATCGAGAAGTTGGGCAAAGGAAAGGAAAGGGAGGTTCGCTTGAACACAGTTTGTTTTTTGTCGAAATATCGACACGCTGGATTCCCGCTGCTGCATCTCTCTCCCAAGGTCCCGAGACGCCAACACTGGCAAAGCTCTGATCCATCACAAACTCGTGGAACACTGCGCTAGCAAGCGATCGAGCTTTTTCAAGCTAGCCGTCTCACTGATTATAATCGCGGGTTTTCACAACTCACGTAACCCATTCGGAGGGTCATTCCTTCGAAAGTCGTGGTATCTGGAAGAGGTATCTCGGGAAGAAGAAAAATCTCACATACCATCACATCTATCAAGTCATTAGCACTCAACCTCCGGCAACCCTGATCATCTCCGGTAATATCGGACCAACTAACCTGAGGTGGGCTCTTTTGCAGGGCACGCATGCAGATGCCACATGGCCTTTCGTCTTCCTTTGAGGCTTGGGTGACGTCTGCGGGTGAGAATCGTGCCCAGGATGATACAGAGCCGTGGAATGGGGCAGCGGACCAGGCAAAGGACCTCCTGTACTGCCTGGTCCAGCAATCGGCGGGAAAGAAGGCTGAAGGGTTGTTGTACCATGTGGTGCATCGTAGAGATGCGGTCTTGTCATCGATGGCTCTGCGCGCTGATACTCGTACGACATGCCTTGTGGCGGATTTGGAAGAAATGGGCGTGTGTGAGTCAAGGCCCCAGACTGAAGTCCTTCACCTCCGTGGGTGACTGCAATCTCTCGATAGCCATCTCGAGTTG